CATCGATCAACTATTAGTACCTATCGAAGCGTTGCTCTAGCTACCCCCACCTCTCGCATCCCCACTTCTCATAGCCCTAGTACGTACGTCCTGCTGGGCCAGTACGAAAGGGGCATTCTTCCTATTCTTCACTGGACGCCTACGACTACACATCTTGAGGGATTATAGAGGCTTTAAGAATTCACAAAGGACAACGAAGAGAATATCCTAATCTTCAAGACTCGTGAAAGTGAGCCCATTCAACATCACAACCCTTAAGGTTGTGATCGCTATATTTGCGGAGTGCGAGAGCATAAACAAATTGCCAGAGGACTCTTAGTTGAGGAATTTCGGCTATAACATTGTTTTTGAATTTTCAGTTTATTGAATATGTACAGTGAGTTGTAGTCGGTTGTTACGTTTAAGTGTGGTTACGTGAGATTAACTGACTTGGGTGTTGGGAGTACCGGTAATCATAAAGATTTGGGGCACTGGAATGAGCCAATGGGAAGTCAGGAGTGCGACAGCTGGGGGTAGCGGCACGGAGTGCCTGGCCGGATGGGAAGGCGGTCTCTTGTTGTATATAGCCGCAACATTGTGAAAAATTTTCACAATGTTGTTAAATTTTCCCAAAATTTAATATTCCCTAATAATAATGGATTACGAAGGAAAGAATAGTTTAGAAGAATATTGTGCTGATGTGCTTTCTGATGTTCTTGACGATTATGATTTAGAAGAGACAAGTTGAAGTGATACAGAATCTGTAGATTCAGATATTATTACTGGAGTGCGAAGAAAACGACGGGTCCTGCCTTTACCGAGTTCTTCTGACGAATGTGACGAAGAAATGCATTCAGACTGGACAGAATTTGATTAAACAGCGAATAATAATGAATCTTTTAGGGGCACTCCGGGTCCTACAGTGTTTCCAACAAATACAAGTATGGTCGATGAATTCGTAGATATGTTTATTGGGAACGATTTATTTGAATTTATTGCCACGGAAACAAACAGATACCACGCACAGAATTGTGGCAAATATAAAGAGCAAAAAAAGTGCTAAATGGTTCGATGTAACGGTGGCAGAGCTGAAAAAGTGGTTTGCACTAATAATTATAATGGGACTTGTAAAAAAACCAAGAATGGAGGATTACTGGTCCACAAATCCACTGATAGAGACTCAAATATTTTCCAAAACAATGAGCCGCAATAGATTCAGGCAAATATTGACATACATTCATTTTGCAAACAATGCTAATACACCTACCAATGGTAACCGACTCTTCAAAATACAATACCTAATCGACTATTTCTCCAAAAAAATTGAAGAAAATTTCAATCTTTCACAAAACATTTGTATTGACGAAGGTATGATACCGTGGCGCGGAAGGCTTAACTTTAATACTTATAATCCATCCAAAATTATCAAATATGGTATCCTTATTCGAATGCTATGCGATTCTGCTACTAGATATATTTTGAGCTTTAAACTTTATTGTGGCGTTGGACAAAGTCTAAACACCACGATAATGGAATTATTGAGACGTTCCTTTGGAAAATGGCACCATTTCTATATGGACAATCTGTACAATAGTGTTGTCCTCGCAAAAGAACTACTATTTAAACAAATCCGAGTGTGTGGAACAATTAGGCGTGACCGAGAACTACCAGATTCTTTAAAAAATGCGAAGTTGAAAAGATCGGAAACTTTGTTTAAGCGACAAGAAGAAATACTTTTGCAGTTGTGGCAAACCTTGAAAAACAGAGTTGTCCGAATGATATCTACAATTCACAATGCCGAATTTGTGGACAGTGGAAAGATTTGTAGAAAAACTGGCCGAGCGATTCAAAAACCCGGATGTATTTTTGATTATAATCAGCATATGAAAGGAGTGGATCGAGCTGATCAATATCTTAGTTATTACCCCATATTCAGAAAGACTCTAAAGTGGTTTAAAAAGGTTGCATTGTATCTATTTAACTGCGGTTTGCTCAATGCTTTTAAAGTATATAGACATATGAACGAAAGTTGTGGTAAAACTCGGGAATTTCGCGACTTCCTGCTGCGTGTAGCAAGATATTGGATACAACACAGAGACATCGAAGGGAATTTTACAAATCCCACAACATCGACTCATCATCATCAGGATCCACTTCACAGACTTTCTGGAAATTTAAAACACCACCAATTGATTACAATTAGTCCAACTAATATACGTAAAAGAAGAAGATGTCACATATGCTATTCACATCGTAAGAGAAAAACCACAAGATTCATGTGTAAAACTTACAAAGTTGCATTACACTTAGGGAATTGTTTTGCTACATATCATCAAAAAGAGAAATATTAAATAAATGTGGAATTTAGGTAAATGGAGTTATTTTATAAAATGCAGTTAATTTTATTATGTTGTCATGAATTTTGTTTTATATCTATACGTTTCACTAATTATCACACTAAGGGAAAATATTGTTGTATAATAATGTTGATTACTAATTCATAATATTAATGGTAATTGTTTCATGATTTTGCGTAAAGTTTTTTCAACCTAAAAAATGTTTACAAATTGTGCGGACGGCCAAGTGTTTCTTCCAAAATATTGCCGGCCACTGGCGACGTTTCATTGCGCAAACGTGCGGTTGTATAAGTGTTAAGAGACTCGACACGGACAGACTGACAGAAAAACTAGAGACGGAACCTGACCCTGCAATGGAGATCCCCTGTGACATCGGGGGTAGTGAGACGTCGGAGAGGTTGGTTCAAGAAACGACGGGACTTCTGAGGGGGCTCTTCTGAGACGAAACGCGACAGAGAACCTGCGTACTGGTGAACGGACGAGATAGCACGTCTCCGTAGCGTATGCTTAGGACTCCGACGAAAGGCCCAGTGCTCACGTGAACGAGCGAGGGCGCTGGCCCTCTCCGAGGAATACCGGGTTGCGCGCCGGAAACTAAGGCGTGCGATTAACGTAAGCAAACAGGAGAGCTGGACTAAACTGATCGACGAGGTGGATTCGGACCCTTGGGGAACGGGTTATAAGATCGTGACACGCAACCTGGGACGGTCTGGACCACCTGCCATCAGAGACGAAGAGACCATGGACAGGATCGTCGACAGACTCTTCCCGACGCACCCTGAACAAATGTGGACGGGGGACGATGTCGACGAAGACGAAATCCCGGAATTCTCTCGGGCTTAACTCACAGTGGCAGTGACTCAGCTCGCGGGGGGAAAAGCTCCGGAACCGGACGGCATCCCGGCGGAAGTTCTCGGGATAGTTGCAAGGCTACGACCGGAGATCCTTCTCAGCCTGTACAACACATGCTTGGAAGTGTTTAGTAGAGACTGAAAGACGGCCCGTGTGATCCTCAGCGTTAAAGGCAAGGGTGGGAACCCCGAGATGCCATCTTCCTATAGACCGCTGAGCTTGCTGAACTCTCTTGGTAAGCTCTTGGAAATGCAACTCAGAACCCGAATCCAGCCGGCTGTACGGGCGGCTAGGGGACTTAACGACAGACAATACGGCTTCAGAAAGGGACGATCAACGATGGGCGCGATCCAAAGGGTCGTGGTCGCGTTTTACAGAGCACAGACTAGACCCCACAAAGACAGGCCAGTAGTACTCCTGGCAACACTAGACGTACGAAACGCCTTCAACTCAGCGAGGTGGGTGGATATCGTGCAGACGTTCTCAAACGTCTTCCCGCTGCCGCCCTACCTTCTCTGAGTCTTACAGAACTACCTACGTGACTGCCACATTACGTACATGACGGAGACGGGGTTTAAGACGAGAAATCTGACAGCAGGCGTAGCACAGGGCCTAATCTTGGCCCCCGACATCTGGAACGGATTCTATGACGAGGTACTCGGCCTTCCGATGCCGCCTGGGGTCTCCCTTGTAGGATATGCAGATGACATAGCTTTATTAATAGTTGCAAAGGACACTAACCTGGCGCCGACGCGACTGCGCCGGGCGTTCGAACGGATCTGTGAATGGATGCACGGACATGGACTGGAGCTAGCTGTACAAAAGACAGAATTACTCTACCTAACGAGACGACGAATAAACACGACTGCTCCCATGACGGTGGGTACGAACCGATTGCTGCCGGGAGGTACTGCTAATATTTTGGGGTAACCCTTGATATGAAGTTGTCCGTCTGGCCGCATATCAAGGCTGCGGCACAGAGGGCGGCTATTAAGACGACTGCCCTCGCGCGCCTCATGGCAAATACAAGAGGACCCAGACAGAAAATTAGGACATTGCTGATGGCGGTCACCCACTCGATCCTCCTCTACTGTGCCGAGATATGGGGGGACGCGATGCGGGTCAAGAAATATCGGCAGACGATGGTGGCGATAGAGCGGTGGGGGGCACTTCGCATTGCGTGCGCTTACCGCACTGTCTCCGCGGCAGCGGTGTTCGTGATAGCTAGCGTCATTCCCGTAGACCTCTTAGCACTGGAGCGCAAAAGGATCTTCGAGTCATGTGTAGAATTAGGACGGAAAAGGGCCGCCACAGAGGCGCAGAAAGAGATTCTGAACAGCTGGTAAACACGCTGGACGGAAGGCGACAAAGACAGGTGGACGAGACGGCTCATAACGGACGTACGATCGTGGTCGGAGAGGAATCACGGGGAAGTAAATTTTTACTTAACTCAGTTTCTTTCTGGCCACGGGTACTTCCGCAGGTACCTGTACTCTATGGGGAAAGTGACGTCCCCGTCGTGCAGATACTGCGGACATACACAGGACGACGAGGAACACACATTTTTCGTGTGCTCGCGGTGGACAGACGCCAGACGGACGCTACGAACCAGGACAGGAGATCTGACCCCAGACAACATAGTGTCCCCTATGACTCAAGACCAGGAAAAGTGGGATGACGTGACGCGTTATGTGACGAACGTACTCAAACAAAAGCGAACAGATGGATGCCTCCTAGAAAGCTGACGAGCAAATAAGGATTTGTTCGATATATCCCCTGCAGCACGAGCTGCCCAACCTTGTTCGACATATCGCTTGCAGCACGAGCTGCCCAACTTCGTTCGAATATTGCCTGCAGCACGAGCTGCTCAACTTCGTTCGATATATTCGCTGAATCGTTCAGCATCTCTCCGCTTACTCGCTGAGCATATCCGCTTAATCTTTGCCCAGGCGATCTGCTTGTACGTACAAGGGAACGATTCTAAAACTTAGATGCAAATGTTGATAGTTCGATTCTAAAGGATACAATGCAAAAATTTAAAGATTATTTAGCAACCAGCAAATTGTGATCGCATTTCGCTTCACATTCCGTAAGCAGTTTTCACGGTGACTACTCGTACTACATCATCGTCTCCTGGATAAACACTAACGACTCGTCCTAATAGCCATCTCATACAAGGTTCATTTTTGTCACTGAAAATGACGATGGTATCCTTTCCAATTTTATGCTGTGGTTGTATGCATTTCTGGCGTTTCTGCAATTCTCATAGATATTCGAGGTGCCATCGTCGCCAGAAATCTTGTCGAACTTTCGTGATATGCTTCCATGAAGACAATCGGTTAGCTGTTGTCTTAACAATGTAGTAATAGGTCTTCCAACTAGAAAATGTGCAGGTGTTAGTGCTGTTATATCATTAGGGTCTGATGAGATCGGACATAGCGGGCGTGAATTTAGAATAGCTTCGATTTCGATCGCGAAGATTGTCAATTCTTCGTACGTGAAGAGAAGTTCGCCTACGATCCGCCTAAAATAGTGTTTGAAAGACTTAACGGCAACCTCCCACAAACCTCTGAAATGAGGATATAAGGGAGGATTGAAATGCCATGAGATTCTATGATCCATCGCGAAATTGTGGACCTTTGCCTTTCGTCTGACTCAAGCAAGGTATATAGCTCTTTTGACTGGGTATTAGCCCTGACGAAATTGGTCCCTTTATCGGAATAAACGTGGATCGGTACTGCTCTCTGACTCACAAACCGTCGAAAGGCGGCTAGGAATGCGTCCACGGTTAGATCGCTGACTAATTCGATGTGCACGGCCTTTATAGTCATGCAGAAAAAAACGCATCTGTATATCTTGACGCGACCTTTATTACGATATTTTTGAAATGAAAACTTCTTTAGAATGGAGTAATCTGAAAAGTAAATAAACGGAAACGCAGCTATGTAATGGCTGCTATACTAAATAACGAGAGAAAGGGAGACAAACTTATAGGATTGGGCCTGCGAGAGAGAGACGGAATATAGCTGTACAGTTTTTCCTATCCTCGGTCTCCTCTTTATGCTATGCTTCCTAGTTATCACTCTTGGTTGTATATGTGTACGTTTGTGTGCGACAGCATACTACAAAGCGTAAACACGTATTCTTTTGATACTCGAAATGTTTGTAGGTAGGAGCGATAGAAGGGTAGAAGAATAAACAGAAATAAGCACGTAGGTATGTGACAAAAGTATAAGGTCTAAACGAACGAAAGGTCGAAATAAAGAAAGAAGGTGCGTGGTCTGTTTTTATTTTACCAAACGTGTCATTTCTTTTCTATTTAAAAATGTTTCTATTTTATTGAAAAATTATTATTAAATTATTATTTACTTTGCAAATATTATAATTAACAATTATGAAATATATAGAATATAATAATTGTATTGTCTACAATATTTTACAAAAAAATGAAATGATTATCAGATATATCAGAGAAAAAAAATTAAACAACATTGTAGAATACTTTTCTTATAAATATCAAGAGACATGTTTTTTAAATATAATGTTTGCGTAATTAGAAATTTATAATAATTTTTTAATAAAATAGAAAAGTTTTTAAATTGGAGAAACTAGACACGTGACAAAAAAATAAACTATATTTACTTTATATTTCCAATAAGAATAAAATAATATAACTTATTTTAAAATATAGAAAAAAAATATAGAAAAAAAATTTTTAAAAAGATTATTAATATTATAAAATAAAACAACGAAAATAGAAATAGATTTTAAAATCGTTGTAATTCAAAACCCGATGAAAAGGAAAAGATCCTACCACAATTGTTCCCTTCTTTACCAGCATCTACAGTTATTAATTGCAACAAAAAAAGAAATACTTGTGTATGCTAACCCATGATAAAGATATCTCACATTCACAGAAAGTGTGAAAAGTGTAAGAGAAAAAAAATTCATCTACTTGAGTTTCAAAAAAATATATATTATATTTACTTGGATTAGGACGGCGTATCTTTCTGTCGATAAATATTCTACAATTTTCGTCTTTATCTATGGCTATCGCATTTAGCATTCCATCTTGATGGATAGAATTTTAAAAATATTTAGTTTTTGTCAGCTACCTACACCCCAAGGTCGGTTCCTTATCATGAGAAAAGAATTATAAAAAACAGGGAAAGTCTGTTGAAATTCGATCTACATTTATTATCTTTATTATCGATGCGATAATATTCATGCCTATAGTTTTTTTTTTACAATGTGTCATATCTTTTTTATTTAAAAATGTTTCTATTTTTTTGAAAAATTAGTAATAAATTCTTTATTTCGCAAATATTTTAATAAATAATTATGAAGTACATAGAATATATCATAATTGCAATGTCTGAAATATTTAAAAAAAAAAAAAGATTTCCAGTTACATCAAAGAAAAAGAATTAAAGAATACTGTGGAATAAATGAGAAGCAGCTGACAAATTCCATTCAAAAGCAAGTAAATTACTGTCACATTTTTATATTTCTCTTTTTTATAAAATATATTTGATGCATAAAGACAAAATATGTCTATTAAATTTGATTTTTATATGTTTTTATGAAAAATATCCAAAGAGATGTACTGACCCATGCATATAACAAAATTATATTATTAATTGTAATATTTGCGTATTTAAGAAACTTATACGAATTTTTAATAAAATAAAAACATTTTTAAGATGTTGAACGCCCAGCGTGAATCGGTGGAACTTACCACGGAGCTGAAATTTGAGACTCGTAGTGTACATAGTTCGATAAGCTGAGAGAGCGATACGATTCAATGCATTTTTTAGATTTTTCGTTGTTAAGATCTTTATTTAGACGAGAGTATTTAGAAAGATAAGTTTGTGGTCCAAAGAATAAGGACGAAATATGTTATAAATAATAAGGGTCTTGAAGTGTGGTAGGCTACAGAGTTGAAAAAACATTTCTAAATAATATCTTTATTAGATCGATCATTGCATTTTACCAGAACCCTAGCAGTATTTTCCAGATGTTTTTCGTAACGTCTTTATTTCATCTATTCTAAAATGTTTTTATGTAGCGCAATAATGTAGATGAAAACGGGAAATAGAAAACCATACTAACAAAAAGAATTTTATACCTA